CCTCCAGAGATCTGCCTCTCGCCTTACCCCGTTGGTTTATTCGGGGCACAGGAGAGCTCTCAGCCTGGCCAAGTGGGGGGCTCTTCCTTCGGGGGGGCTGAAGGGGAGGGACAGAGAAGACCCCTCCCCAGAAGGACTGCACCCCTGTGGGAGGGGGAGGGGGAAATAACTCACTTGTGAATATTACAGCCACGTGCAAAGCCCCTTTATCTCACCATGGCTAGCAGACGTCCCAAGAGTTTTTATGCATCTCTCCTGGTGTCTGATGGGAGCTCTGCTGTCACGCAGAACGTTGCACAGTTTTTCTCCTCAGGTGGTTTCGTGTATTTCAGAAAGGATAATTTTATAGTAGTTTTAGGTTTGTCCATACTTTATTTATTTCTGGTGAGGTGTGGGTTGCCTATTATGTATCTTCATAGACTTGATTCTCCTGTAATATTGTTTATTGTACTTATGGTTTTGAAGAACTATTATGATGATGGTTTTGTATGTTGCCCTTCATCATAATAGTTCTTCTTTTTAACAGTATTATTATTCTATGCTTATCTTTGGCCATAACAAAGTTCCCTTTCAATTGGATTAGGAAAATCCAACTCAAGAATTCATAACATGATGGATTTAAGTGAAAGGGATGCAGATTCTGGATGAACTGCTCCCCTGAGCAGTTTGACCAGGGAGCCCATCGTCCAGAGAGTTCGGGGGCTCCCCTTCCCTGGAGAGGCTGAAGCGGAGGCTGGAGCCATCTTGGGGGGAAGAAAGAGGCTTTCATTGGGATCCCTGCACTGGGCAGGGGTGGAGCAGATGACCTCTGTGGCTCTTTTCAACTCACAGATGCTGGGATTGTATTTGTGGATTTCCAAAGTGCTGTTGGAGAAAAATGCAGGATCAGCCCAAAAGGAGGAGAACTTCCTGAAGAAGTTCCCTGGAAAGTGAACGAAGTGTTTTAGATCTCCACTAAATCTGGTGGATTGCAAGCACCTGGGAAGAACAGTTTCAGTGTCCTAATTGTGTTGCTGCACTTAAGAAATCTTGGGATAATCAGCAGTGAGATTTTTCTGTGGAATAACAGTGAGCCCCTTTTGGTCCTGGGTTCAAAGCCAATTCCTGCTCGGATGCCTCAACTCTGGGACCGGAGGGGGAATCGCCCAGCCGGGGCCAAGCAGGAAGATC